CAACGATGATCTCCACCTCCTTCTCGGTCTTCGGGTCAACAACCTTAACCTTCAGTGGGACGATCTCGTCCTTAAACTTGCCCGCCTTCTGCGCAGCAGCGGCCTTCTGGAATGACTTCGCGGCGAAGTCATCCTGGACCTGGCGCGAAATCTTGAAGTCGGCTGCGACATTCTCAGAGGTGATACCCATCGGGATGAGACAGTCCTCCGACTCCTGGTTCGAGAGAACTGCCTCTGAATAGCCGTCGGGCATCGCACCACCACCAAAGCCGAACGTCATGGACTCTACACCGGCACCTACGCGACGTCATAGCTTAGTGAGCAAGGGGAACGCGAACATAGAGCGCGCAGCGCATATAGCCAGTCGTACGCACCAATACCAACGTCAATCTGCCCCGAGAGGATCTCACCCGCGATGATGTTCACGGCCTGGAGGCCCGACGCGCATTGCCGGTTGGTCGTGCTGATGGGAACAGTGTTGGGGATACCTGCATGGAGAGCGGCCATGCGCGCTGCACTCGCGCCTCCACCCGCGGGGAGAACGTTGCCGACGACGATGTCACCAACAACCGAGGGGTTGATGCCAGCCTTCTTCACGGCGGCGCTGAGCACGCCGGAGAGGAGTTCTTCTGGCCGAGTGTCCTTGAAGCCGCCCTTCTTTGCCTGTGGTGCGACGCGTCAGCCCATCCTCATAAAGTCATCCCGCGCGATGCCTGCATATGCACTTCGCTACACACGAAGGGCATGACGCGTACCTTGGTGATTGCGGAACGCACGGCCGCGACGATGACAATGTCGTTGTCGTTCTGGGAGAGGGCCCGCGCCTTGGGCGTCAGAGCAGTGAGATTTTGGATGCGCTGGGTGAAGGATGACATGGCGAAAGAGTAAGAGTCGTTGATGGACGTGTAGGATGGCAAAGAGAGGGGTTAGCGGGGAGAAGAGGAGACCGGGGAGAGATTATAAGCAAGGCCCGACGGTGCCTCATTCGGCGACGATGCAGCGACCGGGTCCTGGTGAGCCCCGACACATGTGAATTACCCCGCATAAACCTAAGCGCCCATGCACCCGGGGCCCCACAGGCATTAGGCAATGTCAGAAAATCACACTTTGCTCATCCTCGGGCCTCGTCCTACGTTTTTTCCGAGACCCGGAGGTAGCTGGGTAAGTCGGCTGAGGATAAGTTCCTAAGACAGCTAGCGAAACACGGATGTTCTAATACATAGCAAATACACGAGTCCAGCGAGAATGTGGGCGAATAGCAACGTGAAGTACCGGAGAACGGTATGCGGGACTCGGAAGTGGGGATAATACAACATATACGACAGCAATTACGACGTTGCGAAAGCAAAACGACACAGACCGAGACAAACCGGACGTCAATCCTCCATCTCAGGCAGCACCGACGCCGACGCCGACCCCGGCGGCGTCTTCAGTTCAGCGGGCTGCCGCAGTCCGAACCACACCGGGATCTGCTCCCAAACCTCCCTCCGCGCCTTGGCGACTGCCAGCGAGAAGTCCTCCTTGCACGACGCGCATATCCGCAGCCCGCACTGCCGCGTCCCGTCCGAGAAGTCCGTGCGCGAGAGCATCTCGACCGCCTGCATGAGCGAGAAGAGCGGGTCTGCGTCGCGCCCGGTCGCGATCCCGCTCACCGCGCGCAGGAGGTTCAGCATGATGAAGTAGTACGACTCCCGGCAGTAGTGCCCGTTCGAGTGGTGGCGGTTTTGGCAGTTCCTGGAGATCGCCCGCCCGGAGAGCTCTTTGTCGATGAACGCCGCGAGGTACCGCTGCCCCGCCTCCCGCCCTTGGAAGATTGCGCGGAGGTCGTTCGGGTCGAGACGCAGGGTCACGATTTCGGGATTCGCAGACTTCACATTCACGGTTGAGCGATACGTGGACGGGAGCAGGGCGGGGATGGCCGAGGCACCGGCGACGATCCTGCGTGGGCCGTATCGCGAGAGATCGTAGAAGGCAGAGGGAAGGATGTGGTCCAACTGCAGTTCCTGCGCAAGGTGGATGACAAGCACCGGATGCGGAAACTCCTCGCGTGGGTTGTACCGTGTGTCGACCGTCGCCTGCAGTTCTCGCTTGTCCCAGCCCAAGAGCGTCGTCGGCCAGTCCGCCTCGAGGCGCACCAAGCACCGCTGGCGGAGGTGCTCGATCAGATACTTGGTCGATAGTCGCAGCACGGACGACACGGCACAGAAGTCGCCTGCGGCGGGGTTCGTGAAGTACCTGTTGTAGACGCACAGGACACAAGACACATGGACAAAGGAAGCAAGAACGTGCTTTGTTAGTGCATGTCAGCCGCACGAGAAGAAGAAGCACTCACATCCCGTCATACAGAGCCCGGAGCAGGTGGAGCACGTCCGAAGGGTCGTCATGGAGCTCAACCCACGGACACCCGTCGATCGTCTCAGAGGCTGGCTGAGGAAGGGACAACATGTCGCAAAACACCTCTGAATGTCGCACCAGCTGGCCCTGGTGCACCTTGAACGCGACATCCGCGACGAGCAGCACAATGTTACCGTCCGCGAACCAGAAGTCCGTAGTTTTGAAGTTGAAGGGATGGCCGGAGACGGTCATGGATAATCGAGACGGACGAGACGACTAGTCCAAGCGGGCTTGGAAGGGGTCGGATGGACGAGCAAGAGGGCAAGAGGGAAGGTTGGTTGGGTGAGTCGCTGCACCATATATCGCCCTGCAAAATTACGATCGAGCCAGACGTCCGCCTCCAAGACGACCGCCCTAACTATGGCCGGGTTGGGATAGTTTGTAACGACGCCGACGTTCTACAGTGCAATTGACGCCGGCGATGAACAATGTAATGTAAACGACAGACGACACAGAAGAGCGAGAGCTAGTAGCACACGGAGAATACAATATGATACATCTGTTCATGCAAAGTGAATGAAGAGTCGACCACCGAGTCAGATGAGAATGAATGGGAGTGGGGATCAGCGGCAGCACAATCATTGTCAATGCGAGTTCGACCCCGAATGACGGGACCTACGAGTGTTGCCGGATAGAGGCCGTGTAGAAGGGACATGAGACGGCGGAGACGCTGCCCTCGCTGGCTGGTTGTGCTGTGCTGCATGCACAGTGGGAGGCGGTGCAGGTATGAGGCCAGGAGGAGGGCCCGCCATCATATACACAGGCACAGCCCGGTGTGCCTCTTGAGGTGACATGGTAGAAGCCGAAGAGTCTGATCCATGCACCAACGGAGAGGCCATCGGTGACTGGTAAACGTAAAGCGGCTGTGGAGGGGCGAAGTAGTAGCTGTAGGACATCATGTGTTGCCCTTGTCCGTGTGAAGACGCCCCAGGGGACGGGAAGATGCCAGGAGAGGTCATGTAGCTCACAGGTGTACGCCCTTCGACCTGCTGCATCCGCGAGGCAGAGCGGATGCTCGAGTTCGTCGCGCCGTCATCGCCCCGCAGCTGCACAGTCGCAGCTCGCGCAGAGCCAGGCGCAGGCGCGAGTAGGTCGATGTCCTGGTGCTTGTTGACCGTGTACCACGACCCCTTGGGCTTCGTCCTCCCAATGTGTGCCCGGGCCGACTCACGAGGAATGTAGTCCTCCGCCACGCGCTCCGACGTCCACGGCAAGTTCTTGAGCTCATTGAAGAATTTCTGCACGCGCGAGAGATGCGCGCTCATCGAGTCGTCACGATCCGGGAACCGGATGGGCGAGGTCATCTTCTTGTAGTCGCTCGCGGGCAGGGGATCGACGACCACCGCTTCCGCTACAGGGCTCCGGAATCGCGGGCTGCTTGCCACAGGCGAAGCGGCGTGCCCATGCGAGCTGCTGCGATGCGACGAGCGTTGCTGGCTCATTCGCTGCTGGCTGCTCTGCCGAGTGGCCTCCACGTAAGAAAGTTCCGTGGGCTGCTTGGGGGCGGCCGAAGGCCCAGCTGTGGGTTGCGGCATCTCGACGCCCTGAACGTACTGTACATTCTCGGGATGGGGGATCGCAGTTCCAGGTTCGTCGTACGGGGGGAGAAAGTACGAGGGACCTGTGTCCAAGTCCGTACCTGGTGCGCCCTTGCGAGTGGATTTACGGTCATAGAAGTGGCTCTTCACGACCGCCTTGGGAAGCTTGCGCAGCCTGCTCACAAAGCCGCCAACGAAGTTCTTCCGCTTCGGTTTCTTCTCCTGCAGTAGCTCTGGTCCCTGCTGTCCAACAGGATATGCGTACAGGTCTTCCTCACCAAGAACATGTTGCTCCTCCTCTTGATGCTCTGAATATGGGTATTCGTCGTACCGACCAGCGTAATCCTCCACGCTCTGCCCGATCGTCATGTTCTCCGTCTCCGGTTCCCAGTCGCGATCGTCTCGAGGATCAGACTGCGGTGGAGCAAAGTAGCTCTCCTGCTCGGGCTCTGGTCCAAGTTCCGAAGGAGTGGGATGGGAAGGGTGAAACTCGGACATGACATGAGAAGGGGCGGGCGAAGCGACAGGGTGGGGGAGAGGGCGCGAGCCCACGGATGAAGGCGGTCTCACTAACGGCGGGGGCGACAGCAGGCCATTGGAGACCCAGCTTGGACTGCTACCACGGCTGTATCGCGGTGGACGACGACCACCGGGATAGGCATGGGTTTGTCGACTGAGAGTGGACTCGGGATAGAAGCTGCCTGTGTTGTCCCTAGTATACTGGCCGTCATTGTGCTCTGACATGGCGAGCGAGGAGGAAATGTCCTGAGGGTTGTGGAAGACGGATGAACATGCACAGCGCTCTAAGAGTGTATGCGCAGTGCCGGCTCCACGAGAATGCAACGAGGCAAGCAATTTCTGGAACAGAGTGCGAGAACTCGCCGAAAACTGCCGACGTCGGCGACTCCAAGATACTATTACTCATTTCCGCGAGGTGAGAGTAGATGAAAGCACCACAAGCAAGGCTACATAGAAGGATGTAGGCGTGTTAAGTTCGTGGACTGTGGACAACATGATCTGCAAACGTAACAGATGTATTGATGTTGATGAGAAGAGATTGGGCAAAAAGGGCCCAACCGGGAATTGAACCCGGGACCTCGCGCAAGCATGCCAAAGAATGGCGGGTATATACCCGAAGCGCGAATCATACTACTAGACCATTGGGCCTACAGAGAGGAAGTTTTAAAATGTCAACATCACCACACAACGTACAGTAGTTTGCTGATGATGGAGTGGTGCTTGCTATGTTCGACGACCTGGCATATACGACATGAATCTTCGGAACATCGATATGTATGCGATACTGTTGTGTCTCTCATCTACGTTAAAGAGGACCGCATACCTGGATACTGTAGCCGTCAGCCGCCGATTGCCCGCCCTCCGCACATCGAAATCTGTTCAATTCGTGTCAGCGTGTGTTCGCCAGGCCGACTTGCTTCAGTTGCTGGTGTCGTACACGGAGTAGAACTGCTCAAGTCGAGGCCTTGCCAAGCGGGGCAACGGTGAGGTAGACCCAGGGCTCAGTGCCGCCGATCCATGTTGCCAAGAGGTGCCATGGAAGACAAGCGGGTACAGAGATACTATTCAGCACACCGTGACGCGCATATATATACATGGTGATACTCTGAGCGTTCAGGATAGGTACTAGTATCGACAAGCAGTCTGCAAAGACAGCAGCTCAATATCCCCTCCGTCGGTCGGTCTGCCTAGGCCTATCGCGCACACATGCAATAACTTGAACTTCCCTGCAACGCCCAGTACGATCACTCCGCTCCCCGCATATGCTTACAGCTGTTTCCAAAATTGGTGGCCGCTCATCTCCGACTGACGCGTGCGCACTTTCGACACGAAAAAGTCAGAAAATCCAGAAAAATCGACTGTGCCCTCGCTGTTGCACCCCTTGCTCTGAATCTAGTCATATATAACGCTACAAGCCTTACAAACACACCTACAGCTTCTGAATCTTCATAGATACTCAATTTTGTGAGTTACAGAAGTCAGATCATGTAGGGACAATCCCTGAGTTCTGACGAAGATCCGGCAACGGAAACCTCTTCTCTTCATCATAGAGCCTCCTAGCACACTACATACACACTCCCTGTCTCTTATGTGCGATTATATGCAGTCTACGAGGAATTCTGGGTTTCTGATGTCTTGCTCAAAGTTGCGACCTTTTGGCGCCCGATGACGTGGTTACTGAGGTAGGCCGAAGAGTGGATTTCTGTACCTCGTGAGGCATAAAAATCGCTCAATGTGCTCACTCATGCCTCCCAACGAGTTTTGTCGGTCAATCGAGGGGACAACGTGAATCGACCTCCCTCACAATTTTCGAATTTTTCGTATACAAAGTGTGCTGTGCAATTGGGCGCTCGGCCACCAAAAATGGAACCAGCTGTATCTACGCATGTTCTCGAGCCGCGAGATCCCCTAAGTACTCGAACTACTCTGCCCGGCCAGTGGTCGTCGCAGCTGCTGTACGGTGTCGACCACTGGTATTTGTGGAACTCCCCTAGACGACCTCGTCCGAGTACGCGCCAGTTACTTTACACGGCGCCGATGTCCATCGCGTAGTTGACCCCGCCAACGACGAGGAGCAGGCTATCGGGATCGTATTGTGGTCTCGTTCGGACCCTGGCCGACGATCGTCCTAGTCAAGCCACAGGCGTTCATAAGTGTATCTTCCTCTTGGACTTGACGGGCAATCTGACATCAGTTTCTCGGCACTGTGAGTTGATCTGCCCCGTGACATGCAGGATTTTGAAGACTCACAGTAGTCGACGTCTACCCGGATCTCCTTGGGCACAGTTCCTACGCTTGCCCTGATCGTATCACACCACCACTGAGCATGGTACTTCAAATCATTCTCTTGGAGGTGAACGTGGAGAACGGCGAGGGAACGGAGGGATCCATATGACATCAGTTGTCCAAACTCCTGTCCGAACAAGAGTCCGATTGCTTGCATGCGATTGCTGTGGTACGTGAAGCTCCGTGTGCCATCCTTGTCCTGCTCACCCAACGAAGGCGAAAGTCGGACTGAGATGGTGTGCATGTAGTCGGAGCGTATTCGCTGGACTAGTCGTGTTACTTGATCTTTGATGTGACAGAAGGGATTCTGCCTTGAGCCCAGATCCGATCCGAGGACAGTTGACGGTGAGTGGACGGGGGTGAACAGCGCATGTTCACTTGCGATGAAAGAGAGCGAGATAGATCGCAGATGTTGGTAGTCTTCGACGCTGTCGCAGATATTCGCTGTGTTGGGGAGACTCAGCACAGATGAGAATATATCAACTTCGGGACTTACCCCACGGCCAAGATGCATCAGGCTGATCCAAGCGCAAATAGACAACCAGTGAACCAAACGCCTTGATTATGGGAGGATATCGGTCAAGGCTCTGAAAAGTGACCGTGAGCCCCATTGCCCCGTAGATCTAAAACCATGGTGCTTACCCAGAGTTTGAGGATGTACAGCTTGCGACAAGCAGAAGGCCTTGATTTCTGCAGCGCACACAGAGACTCCAAATTCTCAGCGGAAGACGTCATAGTGAAAGTGTTCAGCCCGCAAGAGAGCTGGGTGAGTTCCGGGAGATGCCAAACAAGCCGGATGAGGTCTCCACCAGAGTTGAAGACGTTGTTGTGTACTTCAAGGCAGGTGACCGACGTGTACTTTCCAATATAGATTGAAGTGTATCTTGGGGGCAGGGATATCCATTGGAACTGGCGGAGAGCCAGCTTTTGCACACTGTGCAACTTCTGGACTAGCAACGGGTCCGCAAATGGAAAAAAGCCGTGCCGATGTGCTTCAGCCGGGGTGATATGTAGCTCGACAACGAAGTCGGCAAGAAAGGGTTGTGTGGTAATTGTCTCGAGGAAACGTTTGATCTGGTATGGGTGCCTGAAGCGTACGCGCTGGAATAGGTTGTATCTGCTCCGTGGATGCCAGCGCTTGCATGTGAGAGCACACGCGGAGAGGGTTTGGTAGCAACTACGAAGGAAGTGTTCCTGACTGCAAGCATCAATGATCTCCTCGCAGATGTCGATTGGGAGTAGGGAATGCTCCATGGGCTGTTGTAACCATATTATCGTGTATGTCGTGTAAGGAGGAGTCGAAGTAGGGTCACGGTTCCGTGGGCAAGTAAGCTAAGCAGTTATATATGTATGTGTCACTCAGGAATAGTGATATACGCACGTTCGACTATGACTCAAAGGCGTTTATCACTGCGATGCGCCGTATGACTGGTCACGGTACAACCTGGGTGGTCTCAAGCTGGACACATAGACATTACTAAACTGGATGATAGGGACACTGTGGGTGACCGTGAGAGGCGCTCGGCGATACGTTCAGACAAGGAACGTTGTATTAGGAGGCCGAAGGGTAGGTTTGGCGTTACGCGTAGCATCGACAAGTAGCAGCGCCCTTAACGGCATTGATGGTTACAACAAGGTTGTTGGCGGCTAATAACTAGACAGTAGACGCCGACATATTTTGTTCTACGCCACTCGACTCAGACGCCTCCACAACCCGTTGTACATTCACCAACAATAGCGACGGAGGCAGTGAGTGCAGATATCGCATCCCCAACCTGATGATTGTTACGTTGCACAGGTACGAACATGAACATTGGTAGATACAATGCCTGCATTTAACTCTCAGGCTCAGGGTCGGAAGGTACCAGAACGGCCTATTGGCAGCACTAGTTCAATCCTCTGCGAGACTTTTCAACTGGATGACAACATTGTCGTCTTTGAGAACATGATGGATACAGCGGCGTGAAGCTCAACTGTTGCTACCGGTACGACGACAGGCCGGACGATCAGGAGTACCTACTACAAGAATGTTCGACGTATCTCCATGACCACCCTAGCAAGGAAATGGCGGCGCTCGAGGTGAAGAAAGGCGATCCTGCAGCGATTCTTGAAATGGGTTCCAGGTAAGTATGGGCATTCGGACACTGTTCCCTTGCCGATACTAAAGAGGTGGAGGAAACACAAGAGTATCGTAAGTATTGATACAGTACAATGAGCATGTAGAGCGATATTGAAGGTGACGCCAGAGGCCCGGCAAGGGAACGGGAGATGACACAATGCGACGAGCGAGACGAAGAAAAGAATCAGGACGGTGCTGTACATTGAATAAGCACAAGTATATCGGATATATGGGCTAGGATGAGGATTGAGTAGACAGGTAGGATGAGAAATACTCAGATGCGAAACATACGACTTCGACCGACATGAGGGTCATGCGGCCTAAACTGCGATTGGGTACGTGGGGTGGATCAATCAGTCTTCCAGGGTGGCCTTCCAAAGTTCAGCACCTGTGCACCATAGAAGGTCCCAGTCTGTGATGCAAGGATGATGTGAACAACCACTATGTTACCAAAGGAGGGAATCGAAACACATACCTGCCGTATGGTCTACTAGTGTGACGTCAACTGCAACATTACGCAGGTGGCCCTGCAAATGGGCCGCTATCTCTGCCCTCCACCACTTCTCATGATACCGGAACAGGTCATTCTCGGCGAGTATGATGTGAAGGTGACGAAGTATTGAAAGTGGGCGGAGAGTCTCTGTCAACTCTCTGCTGCCAACGACGTCTTCTAAGAAGCCATCCCGGGAGAAACCATATGTATGACCTCGTTTGTTTCCAATTCCGATAGGAATGAATAGAATGGCGAATTGTGTGAGCGCTGCAGCTTTGAGGTGTGACAAAACAGAGTTGAGGTGTGACCGAAGAGAGTTGAGGAAAAAGGTATGACATTGCGTGCGATAGGCCTCCCACTGGGACCCTTTCAGACACCAAAGAGGATCGTTCGGCATAGCACACACGACCTCCAAGTGCTGCAGCTGTCGAAGTGACTGAAGAAGGCGCCTAGTAGTCCCTATATGCGATCTCAGATGGTGATGAACGAGTTTCTTCCACTAGTGGCTTACCTGAGATACTAACCCCGTAGACACACATTTTCAATGACGTGATAGAGTCTGGAAACAGGAGCGGGGGAAAGGTGATGCCTGGAGCCAAACCCTAGCGCGTATATCAGCTCCTTTGCATACTCTCGTAATCTCCAATGATGCGACGTACCCCTAAGCAAAGTGTCTTCAAATTAGCGAAAGGGCATGGTCGGTCATGCAGTATTGCAAGCACTTTCGTAGGGATATGCACAGTTTCGCTC